TAATAATGCTCAGTTGCATTTATTCTAATACTCCTGAATCTATTTAAATAATTTCACAGAAACTCATACAAATTTATATATTAAACTAAGAATCACTAACAATAATGTAGGTTTTATGCTTCTTTAATTAATAAATTTTATAGAACTTTTTTTTCTTCAAATTTATTATCTCATTTTAGTATACAATGTCCCTTTACGGCTGACAATTGTAAATCCCCAAATTTACTAAATGTCCTTAACTAGACAGTTGTGTATAAAATAAAGAATAAAAAAAAATTATTTTATAATTTTTTTATTTTTCTATAAATATTTGATATAGTTTACATCTCTATACAAAGACATTTTAATTTAGTCTACCTAATAATAATAACAATTAATAATTTTGCTATAATTCGTTTCAATCCTAATAAAATTATTCTTTTAATAAAAGATCTCATCAATAATATCAATTTCAAATACCAAGTTATTTTTATAAATATCTTTAAAATAGAGATTATTTCAGTACGTGATGTTTTGTTTGCGTTTTAACGCTTGAGTAATCCATTGCACCTACTTTTACTAGATAATCTCAATGCTAAAATCTTTCAAACTTATTTAAACATTGCATCCGTTGGATTTGTTTAAGATTTGTTCAAACAAAAATTCTTATTGTCAAATTATGATAATTAATAGTTATAACACTAACAGCAAAATTTTATTCTCTATCACAGAGGATAATCACTGAATTTAGACATAAAGTAGTCATCAAGAAAAATGTGGATAATCAGTTATAGTAGGTTACCAAATATATTTTTATATTTGATGTCTTCTTAGTTTTTTGGCGAAAATTTTGTCTATTATGCATGTGACTGTTCATTGTACCAAAGTTGACAGATTTTTACCTGTTAATTGTATTGAATATGAATTTGAACTGAAGTAATAATTTATACAAATATATTTTGATTCAAACTTAACTATTTTGTCGAAACTTTTCATTGCCGGCGCAAAGTGTTGCAAATTATTTGCCCGACCTTGATTTATGTTTGACGATACATTTAACAGATTTGGTCATCTGTTGGCTTCAGCTCACGTACTCCTTTGATTTTTTACTAATTTGCGAGAACATGCGAATGGAATTCTTAAACATAACTTATTTAATAAGAATACATGTATAACAAAATAAAGCCACAGGTTTGTACAAAAATCGCAAAAAAATAACTTCACTTTTTATTGAAAAA